GCAGGACTCGAACCCGCGGGCTCAGGCAATCCACTCACCTCAGCCTCCCAAAGGTGTGGGATTATAGGCTGAGCCACTGAGCCCAGCTTCTTTTTCTTTATAAATTACCCAGGTTCAGGTATTCTATTGTAAGCAACAGAAAGTTGGCACACACACACACACACACACACACACAGTTACATACTACCATATACCCTTGACCTATTTCAAGGATATGGCCCAACCTTACAAATGTCAAAGTTCTTGAGTAATACTGTAGCACATAATATTTCTCCAAACTTGTAAGGAGTTAGAACTAGACCTCTCTGAAATGTAGCTTCTATATGACCACCTGGAGTCACCATGCACCAACCTGATAGCATGCATAATGCACATTAGTGTCTTAGCAAGACAAGCAACTGCAGAACTTCAGAGAACTATCATCACCACAAGATCACATATATACATATGCTTAATCTCCTAATACTGCAAGTCTATTATCTATGCACAGGAAAATATCCACAGAAATACTACAAAATGTTAGTAGTGATCACTCTTTAAATTATACAAAATTTCACTTATCTGTATTTTCCAAATTTTTCTACAAGGGATATAGAATACTTTTATAACATTATGAAAACATAGAAATTTGGCTGCCTTGGTCACCTCAAAAATCATAGCCCAGAGTCTCTTCTTGAGGTCACCAATTCTTCATTCCCTCACTGACACTCTTATCTGAATCCTGAGATGTATGCTCATTTGGGGGCTCATTTCATGAATTATTGCAAGATACAAATGGAACTTCTACTTCCCATTTTGGAAACATTCTCCAGGGAAAGCTCTATCATATCATAACCTCTTTTAACACACTGAGAATACTGCAAATTATTTTTTGTGATGCTTATAAAAGTCTTCAAAGTCTGAAAGGGATAGCTGACTCAATACCAGTCCTTCTGGACTAGTGCAAACCTGGGTGATATAGCTGCACTAATCACTCGCCTGTCCTAGGCCACCAGAGCAATTGTTTCCCCTGCACTCAGATCCCAAGCTATCAGGGGATGCTTGCTTTTCAGTGACAGCCACACTATTACAGAATCACACTGCTTCAGAGAACTACACAAGCAAAAATGTCTACCAAGGAGGAGTGGGATGCCTTTAACAACATCTAGGAAATGAATTACAGAAGAAAGTTATTTTTAAAATCACCAAATAGTGGCAATATAAATATTTATTCAGAAACGAAATACTTGACAGTTGAAGGACCCCAGGCCAGTACATGGCCATCATTACGTCAGGGAAAGGCCAAAATGACAAGAGAATCCCATGAAGTAGAGACATCTAGGAATGCCTCCAATCTACTGGCCTTGGCAGCAGGAT